TTTGTATTTGGGTTATCTAGTTGCAAAGCTATAAGAAATTCAGGAAATGGCGGCCATTTTGGACGCCATCTTGGATTGCGGAAAACGCTCAAGGAGGATATACGAGGACTTTTAGTATGTTAGTCTAGACATATTCCTGGAGCTATCCTGAAAAAATCAGCTTGTTTTGGAAAATGTCCAGGTTTAATCCTATTTTGCCCTAATGCTCTTGGCCTAAATTATTAAGTTTATTAATCAGCGATAATGGCACGATCATCCTTTACGCTTAATTGCGTAAGCCATCATGATGTTGTTATAGCAACCAGAGCAAGTGTATACTCCGTTTGGTGACATGATCAACAATTCATCTTGCACACGCCCGCCAGATTCCGTCAGTTCGAATCAGCATCTACAAACCGTGGTGACAATGGTAAGAATCTTAATCAGTACTATATTTTTTTCTCAGTTTGGTCTACCATGCATTGCTTCAGTTCACTTTCTTAAAGACATAAAATCTTTGACATTAAGCAACTTTGAATAAGATTACATATTAAAAAGCATTTTCTCCCCTTAGATTATTTGATATATCTAAGCAGATAAGAAAACACATACCGGTAACTGTTCGAAAACTAAAATCGGTATATGTTATGTGTAAATGCATGCCCGTTTAAATATTTAATTGAATTTTGAGGAGGTGAGGGTGTGTGTTCGTTTGATGCGTGTAGATGTTTGCTAAAGCGTTTGAAGATTAACAAAAAAGTTGTCTTTGGTATATTTTAAGACCTTACCAAGGCATTTGATTGTATACGTCATCAACTATTATTACAGAAATTGCATTGGGGGTACTGTACTTAAGTGGTTTTCCAGTTATTCAAATGATGGATCTTCTGAAACTACACAAAACCTATTTGGTGTCCCTCAGGGATCAGTATTGAGTCCGTTATTGTTTTTGTTGTTTGTTAAAGGCATCGTTTAACAATGTTAATTCTGACATGCACGGCCCTGCGTGTTATCAATTACAATTATCATAAATATCTTGATAATCAGACAGGCGATCGGCTTGTAAAAGTCTTGGGGTTCCTGACTGACCTAATGGTTTATAGTAATAATTGCAGCATGAGCTACATCCAGAATTTTGTTTCAGAATCTGAGACACAGTTACCGGATCCCTTTAATGATATTTAATTCGTAAGTGATATTTTACAGTTGATCATTTTTGCAGACGATACAAGTTTATTTTGTCTGATATAAATACTGATACATTATGTACTGCTATTAATCCGGAACTTAAAGAATTGACGGTTTAAAGCAAATAAATTAAAATTGAATGCACAAAAACGTGCGGTGTGTTATTTCAGCCGAAAAACTAAAATATTAATACATCCTGTATGGAAATAAGTATCAACCAACAAAATATATCGGTAGTAAATACTACCACCTTTTTAGGAGTAAAAATTGACTGCAAATTGACTGGGAAAGAACATGAACATCATGTATTATGTCAAATATTTAAAGATATTGGTGCAATGAACAGAATTAAAAAAATTGTACCTTTTAAAGTTCTTCTTAATCTGCAAAATACTTAGTTATAATAATATAATAATAATCTTAGTTACTGTAATATAGTGTATAAAGGGAGATTGTACTAAAACTTATTTAAATCGAATTTTAATTCTTCAGAAACGTGCAATACGAATTATATTGAACTTACATCCTTTCTCCCACATTGCTCCTGTATATAAAAAAACATAATGTATTGACAATTTATGATTTCTGAACAAATAATAATTATATTACAAATGAAAATCTACACAAAGATCAGCTTCTCCTCTCCGGTTCTTAATAGAACAGTGACAAACAGTTTTGTTTAGTGCCATTAACTCTTCTAGTCAAAGTAAAAGCCAAATCGGCCTTTAGTCGTAAACGGTCTCACTACTGGTCTGACGCCACTACGATTCTGAGCCGATTCAGCTTTTCCTCCTTCGAGGAATCTCGAAATCCATTGAAATCTAGATTTTTATATTTTGTATTACTACATTGATCTTCCGTCATTAAGATTTTATATAATTAAATGCTATTATCAAATGCTATTCCAAATTCTTCCAAAATCGAATCGTTTTCAGAACGTACAGTGCGTAGCGAAAAAAGCGTACCCAACTTTAGTAGCTTCTAATTAACAATTTTGTTTAATGCCATTAACTCTTCTAATCAGAGTAAAAGCCAAATCGACCTTTAGTTGAATACGATCGCACTACTGGTCTGACGCCACTACGATTGTGACCTTGAATTCAGATTGCATTGTAAAGACGAACTAATATCCTAATATAATTGTGCAACCAAGGATTACTGAGCAGCAGGCTTTTAAAAAAGTATTGTCAAATTCCTCTTGTACCAAATTTGGGCTGAAGCAATTAATGTGGTTCAAAAGCCATTGTTGCTAATTTATTTACATTCACTATTAGGCAGTTGAAAAAAAGGTGCTAATATCAACTCAAACTCTAGGAAATGCTTATTGCAAGTAAAATTTATGATATTATCTTCGTTATGATGATGAAAATCTTGACTTCATTCGCACCCATTGCATAAGAAAATCTTCTCATTGAGTGATACACAATGGATATAGTGTATTTGGCACGTTATGCGTTTTAATGAAAATCTACTCTCAATTTTTTGACATTAATCCTCATGTGTCTGCATTCTGCATTTGAGTTTTCATTCGCTATTCGAGATAAACACCTTATGTGCTCCTTATGCGTGTGAAATGAAAGTGAGCAGAGAGAATTTAGATATCATGAGACAAGAAGTTATTAGGCTGTTCAAAATAATTAAAGGTTATTCTGTGAATTGAAACAAGGTTCTGTGAAAGCCTAGCTACATTTAATCATTTTAAACAATGAAGCATGAAGCACGAGACATGATTTTTTTAATTTTTTTTATATATGACCTGACCCACATTTGTTCCTTCTGCCCATGCTTGGTACAAGGCGATTTTGACAACACCTTTTAAAGACCTTAGTGCTCATTCACCCGTGGAGGAAATATTATAAATAGGGTATCATTGGAAAGAAAAGAAGTTACTCTTAATCATGAAATCTATTTCAAACATCATATTGATAATGACTTTTTAATTAGGAGCTACCAAAAGTGGGGTACATTTTTGTATGCGCACTGTGTAGTGGGTAGTGGGTAGTGGGCTAAATTGTATCAAGGTTGACTTTCTTTTTACTAAACATGCGTCATAAAGAAAAAATCTCTCTAGTATACAAATATACTCTGCCTTGAGAGGTTCTGGTTAAAACTATGCGCAAGAGGTGACTCCAATAGTACTATTTGCTGAGGGGCGCAGCCCGAAGCAAATGGTACTTTTTGAGTCACCGAGGTCCGAGGCCCATAGTTTAACCAGTACCTCGGATAGAAGGCATGGTATATTTGTTTTATATCCTGCATCAAAAATTTATTTTAAAAAAATAAAATAAAAATACAATTTTGGGGAAAAAAAATTTAGAACAAAAAAGTGTCAATTTGTATCTAAAAAGATTTAAAATATAATGTTTTCATTAAATTAAGATTTAAAAAAAAAAAATCATATCAAAAAAAAAAAATTCACATTTTTTTCTTCAACTCCCAAATAGTTAACCAAAATAGTACTCTCGTATAGTACTTTCTAAAAATAGGTCAAATATTTCTGGTCATGTGACGAGCTCTCAACCAATCAAAAGCCAACAATTTTTTGATGCAGGATATAATAATAATTATTTGTTTCGATTTGGAGGTAATGGAAATCTATTTAAATTCTGCTCCACGTTTCAAATTCGTTGTGATTTTTTTTTGACAGGTATCAAGGCAGTTCCTATTTGTTGCCATCGGAGGCCTGTTCATATTCTACCAATGTGTACACACATGCTTTTTATCCGGTGAGCTCACAGACGATGACGTCATGCTATTTCTTTAAACAAATTGTACTTATCTATCTGTTCATCTATCTATCTATCTACTTATATATCCATCTATTTAATTATCTATCTACCTATCCCTCATTCATTTCGTTCTTTACATATCGACCCATCCATCCATATTTCTATCTATATATCAAGATATGTATCAATCTATCTAGTATTTATGTCTTTCACTCTACATCTATCAAACATGTTTACTTTTTGATGATGCTTAAAAAGTCATGGTGTGAAGGAAGATAATTTAACTGGAATTGTGTCACATTGATACCAAACCCCCACTTTTGTATAATCTTTGCAATGTATTGAAATACCATCTGTTTTGAGCCAGAAGGGCGTTAGCTCTGGGTTAAAGTAACATCCTCCAAATAGACGAATTATCACCTACAGACGGGTAACGACCTCTATTAAAGATTTTTTAAAAATGGAAATAAAGTCTTCAGAAATTTATCTTTCATAGGTGCTATTTTCGTTTTCTTCCGACTTAATTTATTAATATTCAATACAGGTAACTGGATTAGCATTATCCCCCCCACTCCCCCACCCCGTGTTGTACATTATCCTCCTTTCCCTATTTCTTTACTATTTCATTATCATTATTCTGTTTTATTTTTTAGTCTACCATATTCTGTAAATTAGTGGTAGATCTGATATTCATTTATAGTCAGTATAGGTAACTAGATTAGTATTGTTCCTTAAAAAAAATGTTGTTCCTGTAAACAGGGATATGTAAACTCACATATCCCTGCTGTAAAGGTGATCTGTGTTTTAACAAGCTGTGCTTTTTTACAGATCACCTCTTTTCCACATTTGTTAAAGTAACTGTTTCATTGTTAATGTATTTATGCTAGTTGACGATGAACTTGTTGCTACTGTTCCTGAATGAAATGTTTTTTTTTATGCAAGTGGAAATAAATAAATAAATCTTGAATCTTGAATCTTGAATCTTGAATCACAGATGACGTATTCGGATACTGGAAGGCTGGTGGTGTTTTACAAAAGGAGAGTAACCCGTGCCGTCCCATCATCAATATGAACGGAGATAAACTCATAACTGAAATTAAACCAATGGATACGTTTACCCTGTCCATAAAAGGTATAGCACGCCATTGTGTGTGTGCATTGGCAGGTGAGTCACTTAATGCCGCAATTGACAATTATTTAAAGTAGACCAGGGGGTGTTTCACAAAGATCCTAAGTTAAATTTATCTCTAAGTTGGACTTAATAATTATGGAAAGCCGTTAGCATCTATGACTTTAAAAAAAAAAGTTATTTTAAAAGGCATAAAATGTTAATTTCAAATCTTTTCTTATTTTCTATCATCAAGGAGATTTCATGTTCTTAATGTGGACTTTATAAAAGTCTAAAATACTTGAATTTTTGCTTTTGAATATATTTTATTTTAAGGCTACAAATGGCTCTCCATAATTGAAGTCCAACTTAGAGTTAAAGATGAAGTTGAGTTCTGGTCATGCGATTGCATTGTGAAAGAAACGGTGTGGAACCGACCAGAAAAGGTTGATCATCTAGCATATTAGAATTTGTGTGTATTGCAAGGTTCTGGAATCATCAAAATGACAAGAAATGTGGCCAAGTCTTGGTAAAGTTACAAACACTTGCACAGAAAGATGTATATGGGACTACACGAACACGTGGCGTAAAAAGCCGGCCCCCGATTTTTACGATGTTACATGCATAGTTAGAATATGAAGGCATTTGAAGAGCCATGCTTTTCAGGGAACATGTCTTAACTGATTTTCTTCCACACTTGCATAATAAGAATGAGTAATACTCACAGATTATTTTTCACCTCTTCCCAGAACTCAACCTTCTCTTTAAGTTCGGCTGAGAATCTTTGTGAAATACCCCTCAGGAGACTGTCTCAAAATAGACAAGCCGTCAACTAGTGGCAGATCCAGGGGACCTGGGGGCCCGCCCCCCCCCCCTTGAGAACAAATTCATGTTAAAACATGAATGGCACCCAAGGGGGGTGCACATTTTAAAATTTGGAGGACCAAAAAAAAAAAATATTGACATAAAGAAGCATAAGGTTTATACAGAACAGTTAAAATATAATTTCATATTACATTTAGAAAGATATAACACAATAGTAATAGACGTGGCACAAACAAATACTCGTTTGCAAAATAATCATATATCAGTAACGTAGTTCAGCTACAATGCCAACAGGAAAATATTGAGGAAGTCGCAATTATGTGAATAAATCATGCTAATATTAAATAATATGCACATAGCGTATGTTCGGCAGAGTTATCAAAAAATGAAAAAAATTATTTTAAAACAGCCTGAATTGAGAGAGGAAGCCGTTCTCATCGGATTATCTAGTTTATTCCATTAAAATATAGAAGAATCAATTGGGCTAAACTTGAAACAATCAGTGTGAAATATGGGCACACGTAAACATCCACTGTCTATTATAAGCCTCGTGTGATGCTCATGTACATCATTAGGATTGATTAAGCCTACCTGAAGGTAAGAAGGTGCTAAGTTATGAACGCATTTATATATCATCATAACGCGACTTAACTCAAACCGTTTGTCTAGTGTCATCCATTTAAGACTTGTGAACAAATCAGCCGACGGTGTGTCATATGTCTTGTTCAATATTATTCTTGAGGCCCTCTTTTAAATTGTTAGCAGCTAAGTTGTATGGGAAGGAAATCTGTTCGACCAAACAACAGAGCAGTAATGAAATCGTGGCAACACTAGACTGTTATAAAGTAACTTTAAGGATTGTTTAGGCAAACAACTCTATGCTCTCTTTATCATGCCAATGTTTTTCTGGGTATATTTACTTACGCCTTCGATTTGTTTAGACCTTTTCAATTCCCCATCTATCAAAACTCCTAAGCATTTGGGGAATTATAACAAACAAGAGACTTCCTCAACGTATTAAAGGGCTCTGTCCAAAAATTCAACATCGTACAGTCTCTTCTATATAGCATAATTATTTATGAAATAACAATATGTTGTTGATAAGAAGTATTCAATATGTCCTATAGTTGTGGGGAGTCTGACAGCCAGTGGTCGATGTATAGGAGAACCAAATATGTTGAGAATCATTCGCATTCTTGGCAAAGAATGAGAGGAAAACCACTGAAACATTCACATCCCGATATGTTTTTTTACGAAAGAAAATATCAGGAGAGACCCGAGATTACTAATAATCAAATTATTTGTTTCCTCTAACATAGTATAAATATAGTACACACTGATAAAAACCATAAAACATTCCTTATTCACTAGAATCAACAACGACAGACGTATCAACGACCACCTCTACGTCGGGGGCGCTGTCGACAACGCAAGCAGGTTATCAAGAATCGACTATACGTGTTACAACAAGTATAAACTCCTAAAATATTATTCTTATCATAAAAAATGACAACCGCAGTTGTTAAAGTATTCTGTTCTACCATATGATGTTAATGGAAATGATATTGTTGCCATGGCTTCGGGTTTAAATGTGCCCCCCCCCCGTAAAATTACAACAATAATAATTTAAAGGAAGAGAAAGATAAGAACAAAAGAGAAAGGAGAGAGAGGGCGTGAAAGACAGATTAATGACATAAAAAAGAGAGATAGAAAAAAAGAAAGAGGGGATGAGCAATGGACGGAGACACAACAGTTGTCATGGCATTTTATTGATTCTCATTACCGCATTTCTCATGACGCATTTACCGACACACTGTAACCAGCTTTTTGTTCTATTGTTTCTTAGGGAATTCAAGCAAACAAGGTCAAAACCATCAGTGATTAATTTCTTACAGAATAAATGAATTCGTTATTAAAGGTCGATAATTATGAATGCCACAACAAAAATAGCCACTAAACGTCACGCTATGGCATCATTCATAGAATATAATACTTGTGTAGGGTATGAGTGTAGTATATCACGTGTAGATTTTAATAGACTATAGTAATTCATGTCAGCTTCCTATGATAATGTTTTCTCTTTTTGCTTGTTTATAATTATTTCTTGTTTATGCGCATCGTATTAATGAAAAGGCGCCTTATTAATGTAATATAATGTTTATTATTATCATTATTATTATCATAATTGCTATTATCATTATATACACAATACACTAAAAGGACTTGCCAGGTGATAATTGGTCAAAAGTTAAAACTAACTGTCTATATTATGACATTCAGAAAAAGGACAACACGGCCAAAATGCTTTCAACAAAGAAAAATCTAACGTTATATAAAATAGGTCTTGCTCGTCCATTGCCAGAAAAGCAAACAGCATCGAATGTTGATGTACCTTTCAAACATTGAAAGTGATTTGTATGATAATGAATTGTATTTCTTTTCTATTACCAACGCTAAAGGTGATACAGTTTGCAACCCCAGCCCTTGTGAAAACAACGGAACGTGTGTACCCTTATCGGGGGAGTCTTCTTGTTCATGTGCAGACGGATTTTCAGGGTCGAGGTGTCACAGAAGTGAGTTATCTTATTTCTTTTATTTCATTCTCTGACCCGTGAACCCAAAAGTAACTGTAGTATTTTGTTTAATTATTATTATTATTTTTTTATTTTTTTATTTTTTGTTATTTTATTTATTTTTTTTTTTATTTTTTTTTTATCATTCTTTATTTATTTATTTATTTATTTTTTATTTTTTTTTGGGGGGGGGAGGGGGCGTGCTCCCTTTGTGTGCCGTTAACAAAGAAAGACAAGAAATGTAAAGAAAAAGATTCCAATGATGTACTGAAGACAAGAAATGTAAAGAAAAAGATTCCAATGATGTACTGAAGACAAGAAATGTAAAGAAAAAGATTCCAATGATGTACTGACTCAGTACATCATTGGAATCTTTTTCTTTACATTTCTTGTCTTTCTTTGTTAACGGCACACAAAGGGAGCACGCCCCCTCCCCCCCCCCCCAAAAAAAAAAAATAAAAAATAAATAAATAAATAAATAACAAAAAAAAAAAAAAAAAAAAAAAATTAAACATGCATATTCACCTTTTTACATGATAGCAGTGAAGGGATGTTCCTTTGTCTACCTGAGGAACTGTATATTTTGTCCGCTTTCTTTGTCTGTCATGTTCATAGTGTTATCCCTTTAAAAGGGGACATTCACTGTCCTTCAAGTACGTCTGTCTACTTATCTCTCATCATATTCTCACGTGACTGTCTTTTTTCAATGTTCTAGACCGTTACCTGTTGAGTGTGAGTCTACACGGAGGCAACCATAGCGGTGAAGGACGAGTGGGGTTTCGCAACAATTATGATCCATATACGATAGCGTACATGAGCCACTCGTGGTCAATGTCCATGTCTCACATGGTTTGTCAAGATTTGGGCTTCGGTGGCGCCATTGCTACGATGAGTGGTGACATGTTCCCAACTACGGAAGCTTTGGTGGAGATTGGAGAAATCCATTGCCCGCTTCACTACACCACATTCACGGAATGCTGGTACTCTACACTCAGGCTTCGAAACACGAGTATCATATATCACATCGCTGTAAAGTGCTGCACATGTGAGTTGAGTATTCAAAACGTATTTAAAAACAAGAAATTTAAAAAGCACATGTTCGTAATTTCATATTTTCTAATAAGAGAAGACAAAAGTATAAAGATCGAGGATTCTTGAGTTTCGGAAATGAACAGTTACATTATCTGAGTCACAATTAATTGTTTTATTTAAGAAGATAAATCTTTTAGATAATACCTTTTCAAGGGTTTGGCTACCATTCTAATAGCGGACGTCATAAATAATAAGTATTGTAATGAACTTAGTTGTAGCTCAAACCTTCTCGTTTGAGAACTTTATTCAAATGTTCCATATTTGAAAAGATTTCATGCTGGACTGAATTAGTTGACCCTTTCTTCCATTTCTCATTTCAACATCTCCCCTTTCTTTGTATTGCTTTTGTGTGTTTGTGGATGGATACATGTTTGTGGTGGATACGGTGAAGGTACGGAAAGCAAAAATTACTCTCATATTCCATATATCCAACCCTATATTTCAACTGAAAAGAAAAAAAATGTTATGCTTACAGCCTTAAAATGTGCTCCATCCGGACGTCCACTAGGAATGGAGTCCGGCGATATTTCAAACGCCGATATCACTACGTCATCATGTGCGACTACGTCACCGTGTGGTCACGAGGCCCGTCTCAATGCCATGACGTCATGGATGGCTGCCTTGAACGATCAAACGGAACCCTATATCCAGATCCATCTAAGGGCGTATCACATGATCACTGCTATCGTCACACAGGGCGGAACAGATAAGTGGGTGACTTCTTTTAAGATCTCGTATGGCGTTGAGGAAACTGATTTGACGATCTATACTGACGTGGACGAAGGAACTGAAATGGTAACTCTCTCATAATTCCATTAGAAGATGCCAGTAAAACTAAATGAAATATCACTACGATGGGCGACCGATCAGTAGATGCAGTTAATTAAATCATTATTATAATATCATCATATAAATTATTCATATTTTCTTTATTTTCCTAAGTATGTGAACGATTGATTCGTCCCGATATTTCTTGATAATGTGACCAATAAAAGCTTACATTTTAGAGTATTCAACAGATGCTCAAATTAAACCAGTCCCCCTTTCATTCTTGAGTTACGAAAAAAATCACCGTCAAATTACAAGGGGTGTGAATAATTTAATTATTATCTGTACATCTAAATGTCCTTGTCCCGAGCGCATGCGTCCGTGTGTATGTAACTATATGCGGATTTCTTCGCCATCCGCGTTTAACTCTCTCCCCCTTTTGTATTGGTGTGTGTGTGTGGGGGGGGGGGTAGTAACTATTTAATTTATATAACCGTAACTGAACATATTAGACCTTTCTTGGCAATTTCTAACTGGAATTGTCATTTCGTTGTAATAATATAATTCAAAGAATTATTCATTATTATTATTTGATTTAGAAGAACTTCCATTGTTGCAAAATTTAGAGGAAGTATTCTCTGATATAATTGGTGTTTCTTTTGGTTACCTTTAAGGTTTTTCCCGGTAATTACGATAATACTACATCCGTGACGACATCTTTGACTCCATACATCCTGGCCAAGTACATTAGTATAAGACCCAAGTCAAGTAACAGCACTGTCAGCATGCGATTAGAGCTCATAGGCTATGGACCACTACCTGATCACGTGGGTAAGATGCTATCGCCATCATGGGTGATCCGATATTTTAGTCCGGTTGTTGTTGTTGTTCTTGATCTTTAAGGCTGACCAATCTAAAAAGTTCTTTCTGCCTGGCTGTACTTTTTTTAAGTGGTTCATCACTGATGATTAGATGGTGCTGTTTCTTTTCCTCTTCAGTGTGTATCATGTACTGTGCAGCTTCCTTTTGTTCAATGGCGCGGGCAATAATTTAGGTGTCGACCATGAACAGGGTGCGAGTTCTTTATTAATACTAGGGGTTAACTGTGCAGTAACACTTTTTATACCTTATATACCTTGGCAGTAGGCTTTTAAAGTTAAGACATTATTTGCCTCTCGTTAACATTAGGATGAATAATCCATATTGGGACACATGTTAAGTGGCGCTGTACAGCACTTGAAGAACATGGACAAACGAAAGACCGTTTTGGGGGTCAAATCGATCTGTTCTTGACGACCAAAATGTCGACAAATTGGATTTAAAGCTATTAAGTGATGTGCACTCCACAACTACAGAGAAGAGATGTTCCATTCATTGATACATCTCTGAGAAAAGGAGCCATGTCTAAGCTTTGAGTAGACTTGCTTCTTAGCGAGCTTGTATCGATGGCCACGGGTTCTACCATCAGTTGGATGGCCAAAGAATTGTGTTGGATCCAGTTTATCTAGGCCATGCATTATTTTGTATATCTGAATCATGTTCATGAGTTTATTACGTAAAAGGGTCCCCAGGGAGTGGAAAATGTGCATACATATATATTTTTATTATCAAAAGTATCGTGGTGGGGTTAGGGTTAGGTTTGTAAAGTGTTAAGTTAAGAATTAGGTGTGTAGGAATTAAGGCGGAAAAACTGTCGTTGGAACAATCAGTGTTGTACCATGCCATAATAGCAAGATGGTGTCACTTCAGATGTTCCCAATGCATGATTAAGTTTGACAAATAAAACGTGCTGACTTTCGTGAAGTATACTTGTACATACGTAAGATAATGTTATTCTAAACGCAATATTATTCTTAAACGTGATGCTCATTAACTGTATTATCGTAAATAAGCCTTTTAAGATCTCTATTCCATTGGAAGATTATCTAACAATTTTTTTTAACTTTTTAAGATTTTAAGTTTATCGAATTATGTATTTTCAGATGACATACACAAGCGAGACGGAACGTGCTTGGATAAGGGGATTCCGCTAGGGGTGGAGAATGGTGACATTGGCGACGAATCACTGACAGCGCACACCAGCGAACCCAGTGACCCATCTCATACAGCTAGATTGAACAGTGTTACCGGTGGTGGCTGGATACCACTTAATACAGACTCCACGCCTTTTCTGCAGGTGAGCACACTATTCTATAGGTGTGATGTGGTATAGTGGATAAGTCTCCGGACTGTGAACCACGAGGAACGGGGTTGTATTCATTATAACATCACCAATGTCCTTTGACAAGACATTAATTTAATTTTCCCACACTCGACCCAGGTGTGGTAAATGGACACCTGGCCGGATTTAATTCATGAAAATGCTAGAGCACCGTAAGAGCAGCCATTCTATATCCCAATGATATACGCAGACTGCCAGAAGTATCGAGTCTGACAGGCATGAGCCTAATAATCATTATTATTACTATCATCATCATCGTCGTCATCATCATCATCATAAATATTCGTTTCTTATCAGGTTATACGGCACATACTCCGGGCGTCGATACCCCATGGTTAATTTCCTACACCAATCGAATTCTAACATTTAACCCCGACCAACCATTAATGAGGCCGGTGTACAATTATTTCCTTAATCCTAACTTAAAACCTTACCCAATTATCAAATTTCAACCTAATCCATTTACATTTTCAAGTTTCCCTTTGTGTATAATTATATTCTCTGTTTCAGTGTGTTTGTCCATCTTTTTTTCTCGAAATTTAGGTGGATCTTACAGAAATACATCTGGTGACTGGTGTGATAACTCAAGGTCATCGTACTCTTGACCAATGGACGACGTCGATCACGCTAGCATATGAAGCTGATCAGGGATGGATTTATTTATACGAGGACGAATGCGGATCCAGAAAGGTTTGTCAGTCTTTAAATCCCAAGTCCACTCCAAAAATAACTTACTTTCAATAGAAGCAAAAAATCAGACTAACCAATTAAAAAAAGTCAGAGCAAAATCGGATAACTAATAATAAAGTTATGAATTTTTGATGCCATGAAAAACTTTGAAAATCATTAGACAAATTGGCAACTCACTCATGACACGGTGACGTCATGTCCTCACTATGCACTAATTATTTTCTTTATATTGATAATACAAATTTCCTATTTCTTTACACCAGCATCTAAGTTAGATTAATAGTGATGTGTTTTTGTGTGGATGCATTAATATAGAGTAATTTTTCCAGGTAAATCATGAAAAATGTGAATTTTGATAAACTATATAAAAATCAATCATTATGAATATACAATATTCAGAAAATAGTATAAATTCTTCAAAGTTCATAAAAGATTTTGTGAAATGTCATGCACGCAATATGATACAAATCATATAACCTGAGCAAAGTTTTTGAGAATAAAAAGGGATATTAATGGGATTAAACCATATAGAGCAATTGATAAATAGTGAGGACATGACGTCACAAACTGATAACCATCTTGGCAATTTGTGTTGTGATTCTCATTGTTCCATAGTTTTACATACTTTTTCAAAATTCATAACTTTCTCATCCCAATAAACAAAATCACGTGAAAATCACGTCAATATCAAGGTATCGACTTGAGTAGAGTTACGTTCTTCAAACACCGTACATTTACGTAAATGTGTTAATACGTTTATTGCATTAGGTAACTTAATACACACGTACACTAAATCACGCAATTGTCACTGCAATATCACCGTTACAATAACGTGATTATCCCTACCTTGGAGACCATGGTTTGTAAACCTAATACTCCCGTGTTTGTTTGGTTATGAAATTACATCTTCATACACGAAATTATCGCGTCACAGAAACACGTGAAGCGTTAATGATAGTTTTAGTCAAAATATCTGTGTGAAATTCACGTGAATATTACGAGGCTGACTTGAGATGAATCATGTTCTTCATTCACGTGAAATTTACGTCGAAGAGGAAGTATGTTACTGTAACCCGCGTTCAACCCAATAATTACGCAAATGTTACACAATAAATGAACCAAAATAATGACGTTCTCATCCCGTTTCTGAACATCGTGTCTTGGATCTTCCATAATTACGTCCAGGCGCGCCGGAAGCAGTTTGGGATTAGAGGGGGTTGGGTGCGGGGGGGGGGGGGGGGGGGTGCAAACATCCCAGAAGAGAAAGCTAGTGGCAACTGGTCCAGTTGATGAACCATTTTTAATGCCAACTGGTAACCCTGGAAATTGAAATGGGCTAAATGATCCAGTTGATCCAGGCCAGTTATAATTCAACTGGTCTAGCTGAGCCATTAGAACCATTTGGTAAAACTTCCAACCAGTTGAACAGCAACAATACTTCAATACTGGTTCGTCTGTATTTCCAATGTAAGGGCATTGGTAATAAGTAGACTTACATAATTGAATTAATCGAAAAAAATTCGTATACTTGTACTTTATTGAAATTATTTTAGTTCACAGTTAATGTGTCCCTTATTCATGTCTAACTATTTATACGAAGTAGCGAAATGTCCTAATAACTGGTAATTTATATTTGTAGTATTTTCGAAATGAATTGCATATAACTAAATCATCAGTAATTAAGAAATATGCTGTAAATTCAGATAAATTGTTTAAAAAACATAGATCTGCACGCACCCCATATTCAATATGCAAATTAATTGGTGTCAGCTGGGTCAACTCGAAATATGCCAACGCTCAGTCATCAACTGGTGCAACTGGAAATGTGCACACTCCAGTTATCAACTGGTGCAATGAAAATATGCCAACAGTCAGTTATCAACTGGTGAACATAGAAATATGCCAACAGTCACGGGATTATCACCACGGAACTTAAATAGTAACTGTGAAACCATCAAGACACCCAAGAATAACTCATTTTCACACATGGAAAAAACGGAATACCCAGCTTATATTAATACTCCGTTTGAGTCACGCGATCATCACCGCGGAACTGCTGGCAACTTTGACTACGATTTAAATAGGTGTTTTAAGACACCTAATCATGACTAATTTTTCAAACCTAAAAGTCACGTATGCCCAGCTTAGATTAATAATCCGTTTGAGTCACGAGATCATCACCGCGGAACTTATGGCAACTTTGACTTCCATTTAAATAGGTGTTTTAATACACCTAATAATGACTAATTTTTCACACCTAAATATCACGGATTCACAGCTTAGATTAGTAATCAGTTTTAACTACGTGATCATCACCAAGAAAGTTATGGTAACTTTGAAACCATTTAAATAGGTGTTTTAAGACACCTAATAATGACTAATTTTTCACTCCTAAAAGTCACGTATGACAAGCTTAGATCAATAATCCGTTTGAGTCACGAGATCATCACCGCGGAACTTATGGCAACTTTGACTACCATTTAAAAAGGTGTTTTAAAACACTTAATAATTACTAATTTTCACACCTACATATCACGTTTTCACAGCTTAGATTAGTAATCAGCTTGAGCCACGTGATCATCATAACCAAGAAATTTATGGTAACTTTGAAACCTTTTGAAGAGGTGTGTAAGACACCTCAGAATTACTAGTTGAATATAACCAGAGATTCACGGACAGAATAATAAGACGATTAGCCGGTGTAAGTAACGTGATTATTACCATCAACCTTGGATAACCTGTGAAACCAATCAATAAAGGTGCTTACAAGACCAAATAATTACTTATTTATCGCCACCATCGGTTAACTGACAAAAAACTCGTTGCTTGGTCAAGTGGTTATTTGGTCATAAACACTTGATTTACAGAGGTAAGAGGAATCACGTTACTCCAGTCGCGTGATAAACTGGTGGTTTTTAGGTTAGATGAAAACGTGAACAGGAGTACCTTTTTTGTTTAAATGAAGGCACGTGTCGATAACGTTTAAATCTAGTTCAAAAGGCACTATACTTTAAAATCACTTAAAATACACTCCCAAAAGAGGTTACTTTTTGGTGTTCTGTTTATTGGGATTACTTATCAGATTTTGCTCAAACTTTTTTTGATTGGTTTGTCTGATTTTTCTGCTTTTATTGAAAATAAGTTATTTTTCGAATGGACTTGTCCTTTAAGCATGCTCATACATCCACTCAAGCACACACGCAGACACTAACAAACACACACGCACACACGCGCACACGCACGCACACACGCACTGCAAACCCCCACAAACGCTGACCAATGCAAACGTTATCAGTTTACAAACAAAAACATCACAAAAATAATCCAGAATGGAAAAAATTCTTGATTCAGCACTATGTTTATTTATGTTTCTTTCATTCTGTCTTATTTCTCCAGATTTATCCAACTAACTTCGACAACAACACACCTGTAACTATTCGCCTTGCTGAGCCTGTGATGGCAAGAAAGGTTCTCTTTTCTCCACAATCGTGGATGAACAGGATCACACTTCGATGTGAAATTTTAGGTCATGTTGTAGGTTAAAGAAAAGGATGAGTTCTGGGAAGCGTTATCACTGTGTCGTGCAAGTGTGGAAGTACATCAGATAAAAATGTTCCCTGAAAAAGCATTGCTCTTCAAATGCCTTAATATTCTAAATATGGCATATAACTCATAAAAATCGGGACGGATTTTTACGCCGCATGTTCGAGTAGTCCCATATACATCTTTGTGTACAGTGCTTGTAACTTTACTAAGACTGGGCCAAATTTCTTATCATTTTGATGATTCCAGTACCTTGCAGTACACACCAATACTTATATGCTAGATGATCAACCTTTCCCGATCGATTCCACGACTTTTCTTTCACAATGCAATCGCATGACCATAACTGGTCTTTACCTTTAATCCCAATATAAAAAAGTAAACAAAATCGTCTTGTTTGGAGACTGGAAATAATTTATCAGGCGTTCGATGACTTTTGACCACAACTGTAAGGCATTTCCATCAGTCACAATAATTTACTCTTAAAAATGCATACTGGTAAGAACTTTGATGGCAATCAAATAAATAACCAATACATGTACACAACTCAACTTTTTTCATCTTTTAAAACAGCAGAACTCAACAAATTCAAATTATGCCCCTCTTTTTATCTGATGTTTTGATTCAAACACATGATTTAGCATGTAACGTATGTCGCCTCTCGCTATAACGAGATATCGTCAGGTGTTTCCACTCATAAGTTGAGTGAGATTTAAACTGGTAATCTATCTTAACATTGTTAATCTGATGAAATTCAT